CTCTGCTCTGTTCTCCACCTTAGGGGGCTCAGTATTTCGGACACGGATGGACCGATTATGAATTTCTTAGTGTTGCCTCAGGTTAAAATTAAATTAAGGACGAAATGATTTTTGTTTTTGATAAAAAAGGAGAAAAAATTTGAAGTCAAAAGGATGCGTTTCGCAATGATTTATTAATGAATCATTGCAGTAAAACAACGTAAGATGATTTACAGGTCGTAATAAAAAAGTAATGTGGGCGGGATTCGAACCTACAGTACGGGATGGCGTAAAGATGCACACATGACGCTGTCAACGACTCGGCCCCCGCCATCTCTAATTTTCTTTATGATTAATCTTCTGTTCACACTGAAAGAAAAAGGCGTACTAAAAAGTAAACGAGTTTTCGCGGATTTTTTGCTAATTCCAAGGCAGAAAACACCGGGTTTCTCAATGTAGCACTCAGAATTCTCTTGGAACAAGGAAGCCTATTTTGTTGAATTAAATCAACGGCGTTTTAAAGTAAGCGATCGTGTACTTGAATGAAGAAACCTGTTTCTTGAATTTAGTAAACGGGGACAACGCCCTCAGAGCACCTTCGTTTCCTTTTTCAACTATCCAGCTTGCTTGAAAGAGGAAAACACGTTGCGTCGAAAGAATAAATCGTTTTCTTAAAATAAGTAAACGGGGCGAACGCCTTCTGAGATCGTCCGTTGCCTCGTTCCAAGTCATCAGCTTGCTTGATCGAATAAAACACGGTGCGTCGAAAGAAAGAATCAGTATCTTTAAAATTAGTAAACGGGCTGAGCGCCTTCCGAGGGGAAAAACCAATTGGCATTACGCTCATTGCTGTATTCCAAGTAACAACTCTCTGGATGAAAGAAACCCATTTGCGTCGAAAGATGAAACCAGGTTCCTTAAAATTAGTAAACAGGGTATGGTGACGCTTCCTATGAGGATGATGCATGCAATGGGCCTGTTGCATGCAAGAGATACAGGTGCGAATAGACTTTTAAGAGGTTAAATGACACGAAAATTACGATGGTCACATTAAAAAAGTCTGAAATACACTCCTTACTGCGCAATTTGTGTTGTTAGGATTGCGCTTTTTCAAATTTCCCGCGTCTGGGGGCAGTTTTCTAACGGAAACAATGAACGTTTTCTAACGGAAACGGCAACTTGCGGCTATTTCCGGTCAACTAAAACTGACAACATAACCTAAAAATCGGAACTCGTGACATCGTGAAATGAAATGTAGAAGGATTGCGTTGGATATTTAAAAGTTGATCGATTTGGTTACCGCATAAAGCGTATATGGACCACTATAGGAGATCACGTTGGGTTTGTAAACAAACTGAAGGAAAAAATAACAACAACAACAACAACAACGACTCGGCATCTTCCGGAAATCACCGAGCCCGCCGTTTGCTCGTTTCCGGTGATTAGAAAACTGCCCCCAGACGCGGGAAATTTGAAAAAGCGCGTTCCTAACGACGCAAATTGCGCAGTAAGGAGTGTATTTCAGACTTTTTTAATGTGACCATCGTAATTTTCGTGTCATTTCACCTCTAAAAAGTCTATTTGCGCGGCTGTATCTCTTGCATGCAACAGGCCCATTGCTGCCAGATGCCGTCAGCATATGCTTAAACCAACACCATTAATGACGGAATGAAGGAACCCATCCATCAAAATTATTGTGAACAAGAAATACGGTGCTTCCATGGAAGAAGGACGCAAAGGTGCAAGGATTAAAATATTTTGATTAGAACAGGGATTGGGAGTTGATTTGCGGGCAAACTCGATGGTTAGGGCGATCTCACGGCAGAGAATCTGGGTGCGCATCAGCCGGCACAGAATATATGGACTGCATTTTGCAATTTGGAACTATAAATTCTGGATTTTCTGGAAAAACATTTATGTGCATATGGAAATTAGTGGCACAAACGTCGTTTTTAAATCGGGCTAGAATTTATAGCTCCAAACTGCAAAATGTAGTCCATATAGGCAATATTCTATGCTGCTGGTCTGAGTCTATCTTTTGCATGAGTCCAACACTTCGACATAGGTATAGATCTGCCCATCTAGTCTACCCTCTCAGAGGATCCGTTGGTAGACTTACAGTAGCTGCAGGCTCTCTAGAGAAAGTGTCGTCCGTTTGGCCGCCGAATTTGACTGCGCGTCATCGGGAAATTTTCGAAAGTGGACATCGAGGATGTTGCGGGGATGGCACGGGTAGGCTGGGACGCTGTCAGACAGGTGCGGTGGCTTTTGCGGACGTGGCGTTTGCGGATTCTAAGAATCGGGTGGTGTTTGCGGATTATCATATTTTGACGGTGGCAATTTCGGACAGGCGGAACATACCAGAGAATTTCGGCGGTGGCGATTGCGGACGGAGGGGTAGGCGCACACATATGCACCCCCCACCCCTGCGCTGTATATTGAAGAGAAAAATTACCGGAGAGGCTCTGGATTCCTTTCCGTGGATGTAGAATGAAAAAAATATTAGTATTAAATATTAGTATTATATTAGTATAAAAACATATAAGCAGTGATCATACAGTAAATTTTTAAAAAAGGCATATCAGAAATCAAGAAACTGAAAAATCGTCAGTTTCAGTCCATTTTTAGGATGAAAAACCTGTTGTAAATTCTAGTCTAAAATGACTGAAAGTCATAAAATAACATACGAAAAATGAAAACATATTTTATTTTTTTGACTTTCAGTAATTTTGGACTAGAATTTACAACATGTTTTTCATCCTAAAAATGGACTGAAATGGACGATTTTTCAGTTTCTTGATTTCTGATATGCCTTTTTTAAAAATTTACTGTATGCTCACTGCTTATATGTTTTTATACTAATATAATACTAATATTTAATACTAATATTTTTTTCATTCTACATCCACAAGGAATCCAGAGCCTCTCCGGTAATTTATCTCTTTAATATACAGCGCAGGGGTTGGGGGCTGCATATGTCGGTGCCCAACCCTCCGTCCGCAATCGCCACCGCCAAAATTCTCTGGTCCGCAAAGTCCACCGGCCCTGTTCCGCCTGTCCGCAATCGCCACCGTCAAAATATGAGAATCCGCAAACGCCACCCGATTCTTAGAATCCGCGAACGCCACGTCCGCAAACGCCACCGCACCGCCAGACAAGATACATTCATGTGGTTTACGACGAGCATGCGGTTTCCGGAAAAGCGGAAACCGGGAATCCCCGGCCGCGGCGGAGGAGCACCGCGATTTGATACCGGGGGTCGGTCGGCGCTGGGTATGACGCTAGAGTTTCAAGACTGTTGTGAGACCATTAAAATCCCTGGTTTTGAAGTTAAAGAATCAAGATGCCCATCATATTTGTCTACAAAATAATTGTTGTTGAGGGAAAAATTCATTTAATGTGTTCTTTGAGAAATCACTCATATGCTCGGCGTTGACAAAAAAGTATATAAATAAAGAAGTAGATAAGGAGAAAAAGAGGAAAATATTTGCATCAATTTAAATAGATCGGCACTGTGCATTTGGAGTTTTGATTTTGATTTTCAAATGGAGGGGGCCTCATAAAGATGACTTAAATATTTAAATAGATTTAAGCCGGGAGTTTATTGCATTGTATCAGTTCAGTTTCATCTGACGATGTATTTCTTCACACTAAACAATCGCATTTTTTTTATTTTCTTCCTCACTTTTCCTGTCCTGATGAATGAAAGATCCCTCGCAGATAGGATTAAAGAGGGTCAAATAAAATGCATGCTTATGGCAAGGGCCGAGGAAGAAATTAAAAAATGTGGAGAGAATCATACTTTTCGGCATGTCACCCACCAAGTTGACGGATGAAGAGAATCGAATAACTCTGCTATTACGTAGTGTATACACTATTCAATATCGATTTTCCGGGTCCTTTTGATTTAAGGACGCGACGATGAAGTGGATTGAAAAAAAAAAAGAATTTTCTGTATTTTCGAAAGAAATTTGCCAGTGCAAAATCGTTAATATTTAAAACTTTGACTTATTTGTGTCCTGGGAAATTTTGGGTCGAAAGGCCTGTTGGGACCGATCTTTCCGCCCCCCCACCCCTCAATCTTGTACGGATACTCATAAGAGGTGAACATTTTTTACTGTAATTGAAGTAGTTGAACCTTTTCATCTTGTTTCCCTGCAAAATAGGGTGGATCCAGCACTTCTTTACCACCTTCCTATCAACTTTAGAGAGTGTGAAGAAAAGAAAGTGCAGCTATACAATAAAATATTAAAACGTAACGCGTGTGTTATAATGCTGAGCAATAATAAGTACGCTCGAATCCCGCCCATATTACTTATTTATCACGACCTTTAAATCATCTTACGTTGTTTTACTGCAATGCTTCATTAATCAATCATTGCGAAACGCAATTCTTTGACTTCAAACTGTTTCTCCTTCTTTATCAAAAACGAAAATAATTTCGTTCTTAAAAGGAAAATATACCTCCTATCGTATTTTTTTAGGGGGAAAATGAAACCAATATTGATAAGAAGCTAAAAGAGAAAGACGCAATGATAAAAATCGGAAACGAAAGAAAATTTAAAAAGAAAAATATAAATGGATGAATAAAAAAAACTAAAAATCAGATAGCATCGATAGTCTATTAGGCTCTTACTACTTTCGTCATGAAACTTTTGCGGAGGTTTGTTAAACAAATTATATCATGAAAATATGCATTTTATTAACGCTGCAGCGACAAAAAAGGATGGCGCGTAGCGCCTTGGGGGGGGGGGGTCAGGCCGCGTCCAGGGGGCGTAGCCCCTTAGTATCAAGATATTTAGCCAACATATGTGCAGGTGAGCCAATATCGTTATCTGAGGGTCCAACGGGTTCTTCCTTCTTATGATATTTATCTTGCTTTTCAATGACTTTTATTCATCGGAATCGGTTCCTCAGTGAATTGTCTGGTTAATGAAATACTATTTTCTTTCGTATTCAGTTTTTTTTACCTCATTCCACTGTATTTACATAATTGTTTTCTTTCTTTTCTTGGTTGACAGTGCTCCTCCTCGGGAAGGCGCGTACATAAGTGGCTTGTTTATGGAAGGTGCTAGATGGGATGTTGCCTCAGGCATGATTGCAGAGTCAAAATTGAAAGAACTGTTTCCTCAAATGCCTGTAATATACGTCAAAGCATTGATCGAAGACAAGCATGACCTGATCAATCTTTACGAGTGCCCAATATACAAAACACGGATGAGAGGGCCGACTTACGTTTGGACCTTCAATTTGAGGACACGTGAAAAGCCAGCAAAATGGATCGTAGCTGGAGTTGCCCTTCTACTTTCAGTGTAGTCCTTCATTGTTTACATATCATTTGCCGCGTAGCGGCCAGGGGCCGGGGCCTCCTACTTAATTTCTCAATTTGCGAATAACACGTGGCTAGAAAAATGTGCATGCAGGCCCGCCACATTCCATCTCGGGCCCTGGTACCAGTTGTAAGGCCCAGGCCCCCAGCACGGAGGCGGGGGGGGGGTGTCCAAGGGGCCTTCCTCGGGAAATTTTTGAAATTTTAAATCTATTTGGACGCATTTTGAAGCTTCAATGACGAAGATTCTCCATCAGTTTCTGCAGAATAATTACGCTTTTTTTTTCTTTTTTTTTTTTTTTTTTTTTTTTTTTTTTTTTTACTTTCAGCACAAGCTCCTTTCGAATCAATGCATTTGGAAATTTTTTTTGGAGTGGGAGCAGATGATACTATTTTCAATTCTAGGGTGGTCCAGGTGCCCCCGGACTCCTCTTTCGTACGTCTATGGCAAGGGAGTTGAGCCATTGGAGTCTAGGATGCCCAGACTGGAGACTCTTAGCCTCCAACGACGGAAGAAAATGAAACGCAATTACCAAAAATATCATTCTATACTAAAAATCTTAAAATAGATAGACATCTTTAAAGAAATAAGAAGAATCCTGAAAGGTCCCAGCGTGTTTTTGAAAATTAATTCACTTTTTGCGCAATTTCACCGTTTGCGAGGGTAAATTTTTCACTTTTCCTCACGAGACAAGGGTTATACGTGAATTCTTGGTGGTTTGTAACCGGTGTGACGGGCCCCTCCAGGGCCCGGGCCCTGGTACCAGGAAACCAGTATCTCCC